AATGATATGGGCTCTGGAGTCACGAGTGTCTCGAGACTGTGCTTCTCGATCTTCTTCTGAGATATGAGGTCATGGCCACACCCAGTGTCCATGAGAAACTTGATCTTCTTCTTGAGGATGACTGGTTGAACCATGCATTTGAATACACCTTGATTGATGATCCGTTTGCTGTGCGCAGCATCGAGTTCACGCTCAACGATGGAATCCTCACCGTCGTAGAAGGAAACTTCTTCCACCCGAGACGTTCCTGGGATTCGTACGAATGAAACTCGATCTCCGCATTGATCATCATCGTCGTCAACCATGTCTCTCATGATCTGTGCCCTCAATCTCGCTTTGTGCTTGGCGAATTCCAAATTCACGGCGCGATCCTCATTGTTGACAAGCGCTTCCATGTCGACGTACTTCACCTTCCGCTCCTTGTCCTTCTTCGATCTTCTAGGACACGAAGAAATGAACTTCACGTCGTCGGCGAATGTCACATTACGCTTGATCTCTTTTCGGGTCGACGTAGTCGTTCCCGAGGATTCGTCGTCTGTTGAACAATCCGAATCAGCGTCGCTGTCAACGGATGGACAATCTGACTCCTCCTCATCTTGTCTTGAAGATCGCTTCCATATAGCCGGGGCTGATGGATTCCACCTTCGGCACAATCTGATGGCGGGTGCCGCAGGGAGCGCCTTGGCCTTGGCATTCGGCTTCGCTGGAGCTGCCTTTGCTTCGGATTTGGCTTTAGCTTTTGCCTTTGGTTCCGGAGCTGGGGTAGCTGCTGCCTCATGCTTGAAGGGACAATTCTCTCTTGAGCACGAGCCAGTGTTCTTGAACGAGTAGCATATCCTATTTCCTCCTCCTCCAGACGGACTTGGATTTCTCGTCCTCGGCGTAAAGGGTCGCTCTGGAGTCTTCTTCGAGTGACTGAATGGGCACTTGTCACCATTTCGACACCCTGCATCTGTGAAATGGAACTTGCAGCGGATTTGCTTCTTGCTCTTGTCACCTCTGTTGTCCGCTGACTCACTCCTCGTCTTCTTCTTGGGCTTTGGCTTGGTCTTCGCATGACTCTTCGCTTTGCTTTGAGGTAGTACAGGTGTTGCTTTATCCGGCTTGGTCGGCGAAGCCTTGACCTTTGCGGATGGAGCTGCGTTAGGCGTTGGTTTCTCAGGTACCTTGGCCGGTGCAGCAAGCAAATCCTTGCCCTCAAGCATCTGGCGCAAGCCAATTTGGGTCTGAGTGAGATTTGATTGTTCTCGTCTCCGCATGATGGTACGGTCAATGATCTTCATCAGATTGTCGTACGATCGGTCTTCATGATTGTAGGGCAAGTGTTCGTAGTGCATGCCCAACTCCATCTTCATTGCGGGCGAGTCCTTGATCTTGCTGTACAAGCAATCACGGAGAGCTGTTTTGGATGGTATGTCTTCTGGCCTCATCCGTCCCAGAACCTCCAACCACGTCTGCTTGAACGTATGAAGTTTGCTGTCGCCTTGGTACTGGAGCTTCACCAGATACTCGAGAGTGATGATCATGTCGAGACGATCGTGCGTTCGAAAACTTTCATACATCATCGCAATGATTTGTCGCCCCTTGATGATCTTCCCTTCGGGCCTGCTGATGTAATCGTTGGCCTTCCGGTTCACCTCCAGGTACAGATCAGCAGATTTGTCACCACCAGCGCGTAGCATTGCGACCATGGCGATCCCCAATTTGACGTCTACGCTCTTGAACTTCTTGTGTCCTGAATCGTTCAGTGCTTCGACATCAGGGAATGGGTTGAACGCTGGTGCCAGCCATAACATCCAGTCCTCATGATTTGGGTCGGCTGATGCTCCTAAAACATTGGCCGTGCATACGGATCGCCAGTTGTTGAGGTGAGTGAGAGTAGGCCATGGAGGAACGGTCACTTTGTCGGCTTCCCTCCTGGAAATTCTCACCTCTGTGACTTCAGGATCCGCGTCTCCATCAGGATCACGCGCATGCGAGCCAGGATCCGATTCAGGTTTGCCTCCTCCGCCTCTCTTCTTATCATCATCGTCATCATCAGGCGGATCTGGAGGATCATACCCCGTACCGGTTCCTTCATCATGCTCTTCCTCTCCGTTCTCGTCGCCAGCTTCATCACCGTCATCGTCTCCATTGTCTTCCTGATTCGTTTCAGCGAATAATCTCCACTCATCACGATCAGCTCTGAGACGTTGTTCGGCTTTCTGGGCCTTGAGTACTTCGCTTCGCAGATCGGCAATCTTCTCTTCATACCGTTCCGCGACCTCTTTCTCGATCTGACGCCTCCTTGCCTCATGGATAGAATCGTCATAGGCGACAGGGGGACCAATGAGGTCGTTGCCCTTCGTAGATGCGATAATGCCGTCGATACCAACAGGTCTTGAGGAGCTGGCAGATGCTGTGGACTTCGATCCCAACATCCCGCGATCCTCCAAGAGTTCGCGTAGCTGTCGATCACGCACGGCTGCCGCATCACTTTGCCCATGAAATCCGCTTGGTATGCCAAACAGAGTGGCTGCACTAGGCGTGGAACGCGCAAGTGCTGGGCTGCTAATACCTGGCACGTAGTGCTCGGGCATTGCATCCGCCACGATTGGCGTTGAATTGCGGCCAGTGAAGAAGTTCCCACCGGTAAATGGGATTCCATCCATCGCAAGGTTCTTGTCCTTGTCCGATTCCGAGAATGCGAACTTCTCTTTGGCGACTGGACTAACTTGACTTGGGGACTGTATTTCAGGGGATCGTACCTCACCTCCTACGGAAAATGAAGGCACTACTTCCTTTCCTATGTGCTCCCAGCCAGATTCAGTAGTCCTCGAAGACATGGGCATGCTCGAAGGCCGTGTCACTCCGCCATAGTTGGAGTTCCGCGCTGCCTCCAATTCGCTGCGTGTCCTCGCTTGAAGATCTTCTTGTGCTTTGAGTGTTTTCCTGAGTTCACTCAGCTCGTCGTGCAAGGTAGGCAATGCGCGCCTTGCATGATCTTCATTCTGATGAAGTCGGTCCTCCGCATCTTGCATCCTCCTCACAGCCATTTTGCGGTACTCTTCCTCTTCACCAAGACGTTCACGAAGCCGAAGTCGTTCTTGATCAATGGCTGCGCTGTTCCCAGCTAGCCCTTGGATCTCGTTCACGGCTCGCAACTCCTGATTCTTGACCAAGTGGAATCGTTCCTGCATTGCTTGTAAGGCTTGTTCCGAACTTGCTGTGTTCGAACGGAGGAACAAGTTCTCTCTGGCATGTTCATGAAGTTCATGAGTCAGACGCTCATACTCACGTGCCATGAGCTCACCATCGCCTTGCGCTCTTGCCTCCAACTGCACAAAGTTGGTGGCTGCTTCCGTGCGAAACACATGTAGCTGCTGAGCCAACTCCTCGGCAACGGCGTGTGCTTGACGTTGTTGAGCAGAGTTCTGTTCATCCATGCGAAACAAAGCTGCTTCATAGTCTCGCTTCATCTCCTGATTGACATTGTTGATGTGCCTCATGGCTAAGCATGCATGGTCCCGTTGTCGTTCCAATTCTTCGATGCGAATCCCAGATCCTTCATCTTCTTGTTGCATCTCCTTGATCTTATCCATCAGGGTCTGGACAACTCCTTCGTACTCTTGCATCTGACTGCGATAGTACATCTGCTGCGCAAGGTTCGATGCTTCGAGCTGTTGCGAAATCGTCAGTTTCCGATAGGTATTCGGACCATCGGCTATGGCTGGCGTGGTCACCGATGACGCATCACCACGTGCAGGAATAGTGTCCAGAGTCATATCCAGATCATCAGCATCGCGTGGTTGATTGGTAACCATCCGGTTCCATGTCATGGACTTGTCACGCCCATGAGTAGCTGAAGTCCTTGATCGTGCTGAAGAGCTTCTCGAAGATGATGGTCTTGACTTCTTTTCCAAGGTCTTCACTCCTTTGTCCTTGGCCCTGGACGTAGTCCGAGGTGCCTGAAAACCAGACGCTTCGGCTCGTCGTTCTGGAGCCTTGCCCGTCCTCGAACCTGTGGATGTCGGACGCGAAGGCGTAGATGCTCTTGGTAGACTCTTTGCTTTCACCTTGGGAACTGCCTTTGCAATGGCAAGCGCAGAAGATTGACCTTTGTCATCTTCCGTGGAGCTATCAACGGATTGCACCACTGTGTCATCAGCTGTTGACTCACCAACGGCTGGCGCTGCCACATCGGCACCGAAAGTCATTGTCGTATCTTGGCTTGATCCCGAGTTCATTGTGGTCGTAGTAGATCAAGTAGTCGTTGCTGTAGAAAGGCAGAGCCGCGTACGGCTGATAACCTGCGTGGGGATTTGATCTCGATTGTGTTGCTGCTCTCCCCACCAGAGCTGTAATGAATGTAGGTGTGGTTGGCTTGCACTCTCCACAGACTGGACCCTGTCTCTCTCTCACTTCCACACGTGCAATCCTATGCAGGCAGAACCGGCGGCCGTTCCTTTTGCACTCACTGCCGGCGGCGGTTCGTCTGTGCAACGGGATCGCTCTGATCGCTCAGGATAGAAGACACATATAGCACTTAGCTACGGGCATTGACTTGAGCCAAACGTTGCGTTGGCGGTCACATAGAAAGGTAAAGTCGAGGGACGCGTAGCGTGCCCCCTTAGAGTCGAGGGACGCGTAGCGTGCCCCCTTCTCTTGCACTTTACACGGTCTTGCTCACAGCTCTTATAGTGACACCTTAGAACTTGACAAGGCATCGCAGTCCGTTCGCACAAGTCGACATGAGCTAGCACTAGATGGTCGAAAAGTTTCGAAAAGATCGAGCGACTTCCCGAACCTACGCGTTTTTTTGGCCATTGATGTTCAGCTGTCGGATCACTCGGATCTGGAAGGGACCAGGTCAGCCACTCATCAGTGTATAAAGCATAAAGAAAATGAGCAGGTGATCGGTCTGAGTGCTGTACGATGCAGCTACAAAGACTTCACACTGAACGTTAAAACCTGCATGCTCCATCCCTCGCCTAAGTCACACAACGTGAAAGCCCACGTGGTCACAATCGAGGCCGAAGGAGGTCCGTCCGCAAGCCGGCCATGGTAGCCACGAAGCCCTCAGAGAAGCTGGCAGTCAAGGTCTTGCTGCCTTCACACATTTTCGCTTGTGTCCTCGTCCCGATATCCGTAAAACTCGGCTATGCGTTGCTGGTCCTGCAGCAACAACACGATTCGGAGCATGCATGGACCACAGTGAAGTTGCGCTGGCTGGCGTGAAAAATGTCGCTCAACTGCTGCAAAACTCCTGTTGGCGAAAAATGAAACGCGTTCAACACCCGGTGACCGTGTGGGCCATGTGGAGGAAGGGCCAAACCGACGGTCGCAAAAAAGCGTTGCGACAACGTTTCACATCGCCCGCTTCACTTAGAATTGCTGCTAGTGGCTTGATGGTGAGGGCTTATGGCAAGAAACACGAAACCTAAAGCAACAGACAGAGTCGCGGAAACAGCATCAAGTATAATTCGGGAACTAAATTCAGAAACCGTGTGGGACCAGAATTCGGGAACCGACGGGATTCAGGAACCCGTGTCGCACGCGGCCAAGGTGGATATCCAGACCTGCATAAAGTCGCGGACCATGGAGCCCGAACTCACACACCAGACCACATTCGTGTAGTCAGGCATCTAGAGATACGCTTGGTGCACCCGAAAACCTGTGGCCGAGCACCCGAAAGGCGTCAAGCCGAGAACCACAACCTTATGCCTAAACCCTAAGGCCGAAACCCGCAAGCCCCCAAGGCCTGAACCTTAAGGCCGAAAGCCGAAGGCCGAAATCCTAGGGCCAAAATCTTAAGGCCGAAACCCCAAAGCCGAAACCAATTCGGGAACCCAGGCACCCAAATTCCGGCATAAACGAATGACTTAGTGCATGTCGGCCATGCTGCCTCAAGACAGATATCCAGGCTGCGTAACGTCGCAGACCATGGAGCCCCCCTTGCGATCTGACTCCGCGCGAAACGAAGTCACACAACGGGCCACTCGTGTAGCCAGGCATCTAGACTTACGCTTGCTGCACCCGAAAACTTGTAGCCGAGCAATCTGAGGCCGAAAGCGCAAGCCGAAACCCTAAGGCCTAAACATGGCTATAAGGCCGAAACCCTATGGACGAAACCGTAAAGCCGAAGACCCAAAAGCCGAAGCCCTGAGGCCGAAAGCCTAAGGCCAAAAACCGAAGGAGTCGAAGCCCTAAAGCCGAAAACCCGAAAGCCGAAACGCTGAGGCCGAAGCCTTCAAGCCGAAACCCTAAGCCCCAAACCCGAAGGAGTTGAAACCCTAAAGCCGAAACCCTAAGGCCGACAACCCAAGGCCCAAACCCGAAGGCCGACAGGTACAGTTCCTGAAAGGTGAACTCCTGGTTCTGGAATTGCACGCCCGAGTTGGCTCACGGAGTTCCCAGATTTTGTCCCTGAAGTTCGGGGGGGTTCCAGAATAGGTCTTCAGTCTTCACTCATCAAGTGTCCGACACTTGGGAGCAAAGGAGAAACAAATACAGAGAAAAGGAGGAAAACCCCTGGCAACTGCCGACAGGTCCGGACACCTGTACGGGGAATTCAGTAGCAACTCGTTTGAGGGTGGTCACTGAGCATCATATCACATCCCTACCATCAAATGCCCATTGGGAGCAGGCTTCATTGTCGTGATCTTGCGTGCCCGCCAACCCTGCATGTACGACGCTGTGTTGGGAGATGGGGACCAGCTTCTGCATGGTTCCTGAATTCCGTGGCTGTCTTGCTGACTGACTTTGTGTTGCTGACTTCACCAGCGGTTCTCAAATTCGCCTGAGCCGAAACATGAGTGACAAAGGACATCGGAGAGGTTATCTCGCGTGCAACAAACGTTGGCTCATGCTGGCGCACACATGCGCCGCTGACATAGGCCTCACGCAGGAGCGCCCACAGAAAACTCCGTAACTTATCAGCAATCAGAGTTGAGGCCTCTGGCAGCTTTATCCTGAAAATAAAATATCTTTGTCCAGGGCTCCACGACTTTTGAAATGGCCGACAAGCGATGCTCGCTGTTGCATGTCGTTGCCACCATCTCACTGTTCCCGCGTAGGTTCGCATGCACATCACCTGCACTACGAACAACCTGAGCTTTAGCGCTACAGTAACCGCTTTTTCCTAACAGCCACAGAGGTGGAGCTCGGCCTGAGCCTTGCAGAGCTATCATAAGAAGGATGCAGGAATGGAAATGCAGGAGGGACGGAAAGTGGCACGTGGTGGCACGGAAAAGCAGAAGAGGAAAGAATCAGTGGCAGTCGCAGGTCCTCAGGACTCGCTGAGGCGAAGCCAGACCTGGGCACCAGACGTAGGTTCCGCCGACAAAGATGACTCATTGGTCGAGTCGAATTGAACTGCTCTGTGCACCTGTTCGCCATGTCTGCGCCGGAGCCAGCATTGCTCTGCCTGGCAAATGCCAGCGAATTACAGCTCTGCATTGATAATATGATTGAGCTTCCTATCTGACTTCAATGGAGATCAACATCGCCAACACTCGACATGATTGGAAAGGCGAAGCAAATACCAAATTGCGCTGACTCTCAGAGTTGCAGCCCCCTTTGCTTGGTTGGACCAAGAGAAACAGAAAAACCTATGGTGAGAGCAGCGAGGATTGTTGAATGGTACGTCAAACATTCTGTCCGACGGTCACCCTGTCGCAGAAAACCTTGAAGAAAGCTGAAGATAGGTCATCTTCGCACCGCCGTTCATCCTAGTGCTGAAAATTGGGTCCATGCTCCTTTCATGTCAACCAAAATGCAAGGAGCAGGAAGGCCGACCTGGACTCCTGGACTGGGAAGGCCGACCTGCCCGGTTTCCACTCGTGCTTCATGAGGTTCTCGGAGTTTCCTGCATTCGCTCTGCATCCGGCAACCGGAGGCTCAAACCACTCAGGGAACCTTTTTGATGCACGAAGGAAAGGTCAAGGCGGGGAACCTGCCAGCGAAATCTCGCTGCTGGAGCTGTGGCACCCACGGTTCTTTTTGGGACACCTGCGGAGGCTTCGCAGCCTCACATGCTCACGTCGAGACATCAAATCAGGAGAGCTTCCATGTGGCCTTTTGCTTCATCATAGCGGAACTCAGTGGAGTGGAAGTTAAGTGACCGTTCTCCGTCTCGTGCTCGGGTGACTGGAACTCCTCAGCACGTCAGGGTTGAAAGATGTTTGATGTCGCTGAGCTTGTACAGCCAAGTCACACAAGGGTGACGATGTTCTTCTTGTGGCTCTGGCTCAGGAGTATCTGTCTCCCTTCGCGGAGGTGGTGAAAACCTCTTGCGAGGTTGCACATCAACGAGCAGTATGAAGCAGTCAGAACACCACGGCAATGGAACCTTGGCAAAGCTGGGCCTTGCTCGCAGGGCCCTGCCTTGCACGGCCTCACATAATCAACCGCTTGGCGTGTTTAAGTCTGTGATGCCCATTCCTGCCCCCTACAATCTGAGAACACTGCACAGCTGCAGCGAATGGTTTGTTGGCATTCCTAGCAACAAATGCAACGAGGGCTGGTGTCATGACATTTCAACATGCGACAAGCAAGCTATGGGCTGCACCAGCAGCGCCGGAGCATGGCCATGTGTGCCGGACGCACCTAACCACACACTTCAATTTTTGCAAAGGTGATCAAGAATGCGACTCGTGTGCAGACCCTGTTACTTAGTTACTTGGTGACCGGCTGCATCCCCCAGAGCCGGCATTGCTCGACTGGATGTAAACAAGTTTCAACAAAACTCCGCATAAAGATCTCACATTGAAAATTGCGCCTTGCTATCAACACGTCAAAAGCTTCTCCATCCATCCCTCAGCTGACTCCACACGGCACCAAACTTTCGCATGAAATTGGCATCAAACCTTACCTCGCCGATGGACTTCTTCGATCAAGGCAGAAATCGCCTGGAAGGTGTTTTGGCAAAACGAACTGACGAAGCTGCAGCAGTCTTGCTTTGGTCCATGTCGAGGCTGCTGAGTGACCCCTCCCTGGACGCGGGGTCATGGAAAGGGACATGCAAAAACAAAAACTTTGTGAAACTTCGTTGTGGCACATATCTGGTCAAGTACACGGCATAGCAAGCTGACTACCACCAGGAGCATCAACACAACGCAAAATAAAACTCGAGCAACTTGTAAACGCAATAAATACAGCGACGGCTGGAAGTGGGCAGCAGCCCAACAAGAAAACCACGCAAAGCACAGCGGCCAAAAAAAAATATATATATATATATATATGCAAATGAGGACGGGCAGTTGACAATGTCGCTCTCCACTTGAGCTACATGATGTTGATGAGGTTGATGTTCCTTTTACGGTTCTAATTCATACAAGAACTTTCCAAAAGTGATTGCTTCTTGTTTTGTGTGTTTGTACTGGGGACAACATACAGAAAATATGATTCTGTAAAAACCCAACCCACCAACCCACCACAGTCAAGGCTAGCCATGCGAAGCACATTATAATTTAAGCAGCACCGCGCTTCACAGACGGACTCTTTTCTCACCAGAAAGGACATCGTTTCATTGATTTTTAATCCATATGTATATATATGCACAGCACATTTTTTCATTTATATATATATATATACATATATCTGCTCACACCCCCCATTAACAGACCATGCCCTTGTGACAGCGTACTCTTGGCAAGTGACTCGGCTGAGATATTGTATCTAAACACACCACACCCTACGATAATCTGTAAAGTAAAACGTGTACAGTTGATATACAACGTATACTTTGACATGCCGTGTACTGAGGACGCATGAACCAGACGCGCGGCACATGAGTTACGAAATAGTTTTGTGGTTATATTGATGTTAGAATGAGTACTAGTACTAGTACTAGCACTAGTATTCGTATCAGTGTTAGTGTTAGTATTAGTATTAGTATTAGTATTAGTATTAGTATCAGTGTTTAGTGTAAGTATACATACCAATATTAGTAAATAGAGATTCGTGTTAATTCTCATGTTCGTGTCAGTCTTAGTGCCAGTGTCGATGTCAGTAATAGTACAGTACCACTGCGAGTATCAGCATCAGTCCTAATGCCGGGTTTAACATCAGCTAAGAAGTGCCAGTATCAGTATCAATCTTAGAATCAGTTTGGATATGTTAGTATATTGACAGTCTCGTATATTCCCAAGTTAGTATATCAATACATTAATGCATTCGAGCTGTAACATATTTGTAAACTTGTATACTAATAGGTGTGATATGTCAGCACAACTGAGGCACTAATATGTTGGTGTATTAGTATACTAGTGTATTAACACACCAGTATATTCGTACATCAGTGTATTAGTATACTACTATGTGTACTCTATTCATGTATTGTCTAATCAGTTGTAAGTTTATCAGTCTGTTGGCATATCAGTATACTAATCTGTCATGTCGGCATACTTGCATATTGCAGTAGTCGTTTAATATATTCGCGTATTCGTATAGTATATTCATACATTAACAAGTAGTGCATTGTTACATTGGTATATGGGTATATGCTTATCCTAAAAACATTCGTGCATGAATGCACTAATACATATATATATATGTATATGTATGTATGTATTTTTGTCTCTTAAGATAGTGGTATGTATTTTTTTATGTACATCCGCAAGGCATTGACTATGATACATAGATATGGGTCCATGTATGTATTTTAAATACATACATGGTTAGATACACAAGCCAATAGAATTACACACCTACCTACGTTGTTAATTTCGCCGTAGGGGCTAACCATATGTCTCTGGAGCCCATATAAGTGGCGACATACTCTGACCCAGCATTTGACCAAAAAACATACACTAACCAAACCAACTCCAATCCCCGACACTTCCTTGCCTCTTCTGGCGCACAGCGAGGGCGGCGGAAAAATCGGAGATTTTACAATCGCACGGCAGTCAACTCGGAGACTTTGACGAGTGAGATCACACAAATCGGCAGGTTGGCGGCGTGGCGGTCAACTCGGAGAGTGTACTCAGGCGGCGGCTACACGTCAACACGAAAGCATAATGGTATGGGTGTTTGGAATCCTGACCGTCTGAGTCCCGATGTGGGCGCTATCGAAAATCCACACGAGTACACGCGTGGCTGAATCTTGATTGCACCGGGCATGTCTCAACAAGAAAAAATCGTCTGCGCAAAAAACAATGGCCCGTCATACATGAAAACTTGTTGTGGTTTCCTGTTCATCTATTTATTTGGGATTTCTGTATGTTGTAGGGTGCAGGTGGTGCAGGAAAGCGTGCGCAAATCTACATCACTTGTGAAGAATGGGCACAAAGGGCCCGGTGGAGCTCCCTCGACAGCACAGGCCGTCTCCAGAATGACGAATGTCGGATTGTCGGAGCAAAGCCGAGCATGAAAAGAATCGAAACAGTCGAAACATGGCAAACTCACGAGGCTCAACATCCATGCAGATGCACATCAGTTGCAATTTGCACACCGGCCTTCGAATGTTTTCGGCGCTCGAGATTCTGCTCAAGTTGAGGCGCACTCTCTTGGAGTGAGCTCCTACAGCCGCTGATGCCTTGCTGTTTTGCAAGGACGCAGCGTGCCCCTGGACCTGCGTGGCTTTGACGGGAACGAAACCACACCGCGGTCCATTGAACCCGGTAACCCCGACCCCTGCCCCTGTGCTAACACAAACACAGCAGCTGTTGCACTGTGCCTGCAGCACCAAACGAAAACGTCGTCATTGACACATCAAAATCAAAGCATCAAGCGCTTTGAAAAGTTTGGACGACCGGCCTCGAAGACCTCGAAACGTTACTATTGTCACAGTGAATGAATCATATAATAACATCATATAATGATATAATATACAATCATACATGAGTCATACGAGTTACGAGTTGCTTCTAAGGCTAAGGCTAAGCGCTACGTCAGCTATGTGATTATGTATGTTGCTAAAGCACCATCGGCACGAGTGTCCAAGCGCTGCGAAACACGTCCTAGCACACTGCACTGCGGAACCACTTGAATCACAGCTGCAACACTAGCAGGCTGTGACACCGCCTACTTCTTGGGCTTCTTCGACGGCTTTTCCGAAGCCGCTTCTGCAGCACGCTTGGCCTTTGCCTGATCGGACTTGGAAGGCGGCGAAGGCGGCTTACCCTGCTTCGGTGCCGCATCCGACGGCTGCGCAAAGGACGCCGCTGCTTTCGACAAAGCCTGCAAGTCTTTGTCCGTGCTCAACTGATCCAGTGCTTCGGCTCGGGCTTTCTCAGCGGCCTTCGCACTAGCAGCCTCAGCATCCTTAGCCTTAGCAGCCTCAGCAGCAGCTGGATCAATGGCGGCCTCGGCCTGAGCAGCCTCAGCAGCTGGATCCTGATCTCCGTTTGCAGCAGGCGTGGCGGCGTCGCCACCGTTGTCGATCACGGCTGCATTGCCACCGTTCGACTGGGCCGGCTTGGCAATCTCCTTGACCGCCTTCTCGAGCACTTGCATGGACTGCTTGCCCAAGCAACCATCATCGATGAACTTCTGCATCAGCTTTGCCACGTTACACGACTCCACAACCGTGCACCTCCATCCATATGTCATCTGGCCGTTGAGGGTGCGCTCGGAGAAGATGTAGCCTGACGGAATGTAGCACATGGAGCCGGGCGGACATGTGATCCGAAAAGCCTCAAGGTCTGGGAGCTCCTCGATGTGGACCAAGCCGTTCTTGTCCAGGCGGTCGTGCAAGAAGGTCGACATCATGCGCATGGTCTCATCCAACTTGGAACAAATCTTCTCGATGATGTTCGTGACGTTGTCGAAGCTGATGCAGGTCAGCTCACGTGTGCCGCGAGATGCAAACTTCAGAGCCCCCAAGCCGAGCAACTCGTACGAGGTTCGGATCATATCAGCGGTGCAACCCCACATGGACACACCCTGGATCTCACAGCACTTGGTAAGCTTCACGCTGGTGGATGGAGCAAGTTCCATCAGCTTCTCCCGCACATCATCCGTGGCGGGTGCCGCGCAGTGAGAGTAGCCCTCCTGCTGTGCGCCGTTCGACTTCGGGAAACTTGCCTGGCTCAGGAGGTGGATGCAAATTCAAAGCCACAGCAGTCCTTCAAAAAGCCCTAAAAGCAACCCCCCTCTCCCGGCCCGGGAGAAGGGGGTTGCCTTGAGCCCTAAAAAGGCCTGGTTCCTTCTGTGGTCCCAGCAATGAGGGCTTCCTGGCTACATGTGCCGAGAATCAGACGGACCTCTGAATGGTGGAGCTTTTCGGTATAACCACTGAATCACTGAAGTCCAAGCCATACCCCGTCCCCGCAGCTGAATTGGAAAAGACTCTCGCAACACTAACAGCATGTCATACGATGGCAAAGAGATATCGGCTTAGTCTACGATTTAGGATTTCGGGTTTGGGGTCTGATGACATATTGTGCGCAATCCCTGCCTTGAAGAGGGAGAAGTTGACTTTGGCGGAGGACTTGGATTCCTCCGCCTTCAAGGTTTCAACGTCGCTGATGATGAACCTCTTCTTGAAGTCGGGCTTCCCTGCACGGTACTCGGCGATGGTCTTGTACTCTGGCATTGGTTTAATCCATGAACCACAGAATGCCAACAAGCCAGGCAATTTCTCACCGCCTCGCATTTGGTCCGAAATGCCTCTGACCTTGCTTTTCTCCTCCCGCTCTCGCTGCTTTTCGGCTGCAGCTCGCTCCTTGTCTTGCTGAGCTTGCAGGCGTGCCGATTCTTTGCGAAGATCCCGGCTTTGCCGGGTGAGCTGCGAAAAGGAGCTGCGGGCACCGGTGACCAGCGATCTGTTCAGATCCAGCTCATCCTTCAGCTGCTGCTCGGCTTTCTTGACTCCGTCCTCAGTGTCCTGCAGCCTGAACAGCACGTGGTAGCGGAAGTTGATGAGGAGGAGCGGCGCCACCTTCTCCATGAGGGCTGGTTCCAGGATGAACCGCGCACCGGATGAGAACCATTCAATAACGAGATCCATGAAGATTTTAGCAAAAGTCACCTTCGCAAAGTCATGCACGTCCTGCAGAAAGGCTTCGAAGTCAGGGGTGACAGAGAAGCCACTGCCCGCCCACCCGTGGAGGCTGAAGATGTTCTGCAGGAGTTCCTTCTCTACCATTGGAAGTGCATCATCCGACTCGTCTTCCTGTGGCACAGAAAATCCACGCTCGAAGATATCACCTACCTCCGCGGTTACAAAGTGCAGGGCGTGGTTGGCGGCATCATCCGTCTTCTTCTCGAACAATGCCAACGCCTCCGTGCAAACCGCAACCAGCTTCAGCGCGGCACCATACTGTAAGCCGTGATCACCCTTCACAAGCGGTTGCACAAGTGCACACTCTGCCTCGCTCAGCCCACCAGTGTTGGTAGGGGTCAAGGTGAGGTCCTTAGGCAAATCATCGCACTCCATCGCAACAGCCTTGATCACCACCACGCGGAAACTCACCTGCTGGGAGACCCTGGTCATTTTGGCCATGTTGGCCGGGGTCTCCTTGTCCCAGAACTCCTGGATCTCTTTGAGCAGGTCCTGTGAACGGTTTAGCGTGTTGGTTTAGGGCTGGTTCTGTTTTGACAATCAGTCACATCCAGGGTGTAGGGTTTAGGAGGTCTAGGAGTCTAGGGCTTAGGGTTTAAAGTTTAGTTTAGGGTCCTCTGCCGACTTTTTGGCGCTGTCGCATCGCTTCTTCAACCGGAAATCCAAGCCATCCAACATGTCCTCCAAGACGAAGGGCTTGGCCTTCTTTTTCTTCTCTTCCTTCTCCGGTCCCTTAGACGGGGTCGCGGCTTTGGAACGAAAGCTGGAGGGTTCTGCAAACACGACAGAGCGACCGGAGGAGTCCACAATGGCACTGCCGCCACTGTTCTGAACACCTCGCAGAGCCTGCTTCGTGGACCCCATGCGGGAAAAGAAGTTGTCGGAGAAGTGGAGTGATGACGAGGTCAGTGCTTCCTCCGCGGCTTCGATGTCGGCTTCCTTGGGGTTCTTCTTCTCCTTCTCCTTGAGCTGGACCTGGTGCTGATGAGCCAGGCCTTGGCTGCCCAGCAGCGTATCAAAGTCGTGGATGTAAATCCACGGTTCCAGCTGCCGCCCTGGGGCGGTGGGCTTTTGCTCAATGCACGCATCAGGCGTGGCGGCAAGAACCCTTTTCCACTCCTCGGAGGCGTCCTTCGGGTCCCATCCCCACTCGCTGGTGATCTTCGTGATGTACATGCGACGGTTCATGGATTTGTTCTGAAAGTTTGCAGTCATAGAGCTCTGCTGCGACAGCACCGTGACCTCCTGGATAGCCTGGTAGTTGCCCGTCTTTCTGCCCGACCCGGGGTTTCCCCCTTTAGCAGGCTCGGCTTCCACAAGCATGCGCTGCCACTCTGGGCCTTGCTGCTTTCGGATGTTCATAAAGCGCTTCCACCTGTCAGGCTCCTGGTCCTTCAGCTTCTTCTCAGCGGTGTAGAGGTTGTCAGACACTCTCTTGTGGTCGTCGCACAGGCTGCCCTTTGTCGCCGGCCGGGTGCAAGCTATGCAAAGGCGGATCTTCTGCTCACTCATCGGCCCTTCCGTTGTAGCCGGCGACGACGTCTCTCTGGGGGCGCACTTGCAAGCCGAGGAAGTTGGAGTGCCTGGCGCAGGCCTTTTCTTAGTGGGAGTCCGGGGAACAGGATGAGGCGCAGGCGGTGGTGCAACATCCTCGTCCCCATCTGCTGCGTGACCCGACGAGAAAGCCTCAAAGCCCTCCATCTCTTCTTCCAGAAATGCATCAGGCTGAAGCTTGTTGTCCTCATCATTAGCCACTGCCGCTGCCTTGCCAGAAACACTCATGGTGACTGGCGCTCCGCAGTCCAGGACACACGTACGAGATCTTCACTATGCGACTATGCGCCACTTGCTCCCTAAGTTTATAAGCTCACACCTCAAACAGTATCTTGATGCGAGAAGCGTACAGAATTATGCTGACATGACGATATAATCCTGCGGCACCTCATTAATGGAAGTCTCCAAAGTGTTCCACTGGAGGCAGACCATACAGCACACAAGTGAAGGTTCCTCGCTCTCGCAGCAACGAACAAGCACTGCTTTGCCATGTCAATCGTGACATGCTTCGGATGCTTCGTCATTTCGAACTGATGCAAGCCGCCCTCTAAGAAGGTACATGAAGCAAACTGAGCATCTACACTCTGCAGCACAACCATTCCCATTGTCATTTTCTGATGCTCACGAACGACGACCAAACGTTCTGAATGCCTTCCACAAGCTGCTGAGATCGGCAGCCTGTGCATTGTGCAACAAAGCTCCCTTGAACTGGAACTTCAGCAGGCACGGACGGTTGTGGCGAAGCAGACAAATCAAGCCCATGTTGATTAGAATTCTCAGAAGTGCGCAAAACTCGTACGGTACGTCCCTACCGTCATCTGTGATGCTGCTGCAACCTGTAGGACCCAGCACATCCCAACGACACAAAACTGGCTAAGTGCACTCGAGATTGAAGGAATGGTGCAGGTCGTGCCGCCCAAACACAAGCTGAGCTAGAATACAAAACCAGACCATCATCCAGGCCACCACCTTCGTTATGGGGAGGGGGCTCACCTGCTCAACCGCAATCTCTTCTTCGCTCCTGCATCCTCAGCCGACTCAGCCGGCTGGGCCGGCTGCTGTGCACTCGATAGGCAGCCAGACTCAGGGCACTTATACGAACTGTTCTCCAAGTCCTCATCCTGGCGCGGATCTGCACGTTCTGCTGCATCTGGCTGCTCCTGCGAATCTTCCAGCACGTCCGAGGTGAAGCCGCGATGGAATTGGAACCCATCACACCTGAACTCTCCGCCTGGCACACGAACGACACTGGAAAGAAAGTACAGCATCACTGCGGTGAGCAATTGCTGGTGCATGGCATTGCCAGCCAAATCCTTCCACTGGCCACACTGGGCTCGCTGCTGCCACGCGAACTCTGCAAAAGGGCACTTGTACTTCGTGACGACGTGCGGGAACGTGCTCTCGCCTAGGCACGTGGCTGAAGGAATGGGACAAGACTCATGGGACATGGGACGAAGGCTAGCTGGAAGGCTCACCTGCAATTTGGGTTTGAAGTTCTGAACGTTAGCTCCTGAGTGGCGGGGCGGCACGGGTCAAAATACAAAGATCCACTCTAGGTTCACGGCTCCTCACCAAGGAAGATGTCATATCTTCAATTAGCACTACGGCACTTGCAAGACTGCTGCAAGCAGGGCACCCATCAGCAGCAAGTGGTCCAAGCCAGTCAGCATCTCTCCCGTCTGTCCATTAATGATTTTGTTGTGGGAGGTTAAGCATGGCCCAAGAGTGGAGATGGGTCCATAGCCCACTTCCTGCGCCACATCGAAGCAGAAGAAGTCTTGTTCACCGAAGCCCCTCTGCGTAGCCCGGCTCCGATACTGATTGGCACGACGAAACTCTGCAGGACTGAGAACCAAATCCAACCCTGGACGTTGCCCTTCTGGAAAAAACCACCCGTTCTTCTGGGCCAACGCACGTGCAACTTCCTCGCGGTGCTGTAGGCCTGGTTGAAAAAAGACATCAGCAGTGGCTACACACCTGCTGCAGAATATGTCTTTGAATTCCTTCCACGACCCAACATTCGTGAACTGGCGACGTAGCACACACACTGAGAACTGCCGGGCACGGCTCACAGGAATCCCAATCTCATGCGGGCTGAGGGACTCCGTCTGTATCTCATACAGATCGGAGAGGTCCGCATGCAGGCGGTCACGAGCTTCATTGGAACAAGTGATCTCATGAGTGATCATATCGGGTGCTTGGCTGCGGACCATTCCCAGCCAGACCAGATAGGTCTTCGTGTTCGGTCCTGTGAATCCCTGGCGGCAGCCCCTCCTCGAGACGTCCTTACACGTCTGCCCTGCGACCCACACGGTGAAAGTCTGTGGGGACGGCTTTGCAGGCCAGACACGGCAGCCCTTCTTGCAAGCATGATTGTAGCATGGTGCCTCTTTGTCCTGAGGATATGCTGTTGACTGGTTCTTGCGCAAATACTCATGCATGGTAGCAAACGCAACTTCTCGCTCACTGTCACTCTGTGCCTTCGCAGGCATCAACTTCTCTATTTCGTCACGTGCCTCAGTACTCAAGCAGGACTCCATCGCACCGAAGATGCAGGTCGGCTTGCTGTTGCATCCGTGTTGAAGCAGGACTTCAACAGCAAAGCGTTTGGAGTCAAATGCGGTTGCCATTCGAAAAAGCCGAGAAACTTCTTGAAAGATGCTGTGCTCTTTGCAAAGCTGAGCTATGTGAGATGCACACGTCTCCGCTGTGCCTTTGCCAGAATACTGTACACTAGCTAGCTAATCTCCAGGGTGGGTTGGGTGGGCACTCGAAATTTGCCCCCCAATAGCTGGGGGCCTTTCAGCACAATGGCCACGGAGTAGCACTGCTTCACCGGCCATGTGCAGACACTCTAGCAAACAGACAAGCTTCGTTCTGTTTAGCTTCAGAGGAAAACCCCTTCGACGTTTTCTAGCGAAACACCTTCGATGTTTCCCAGAGGGATACTGGCGCTAGCATACACTGTCGTACCTCGTCCCTCGGCACGAGTGCGTACACTAGCTAGCGTATCCTCCCGCCACCTCCCTCTACACCTCCGGGGAGTACGTAGCAAGCCTAGCTTAAGCTAGCTGGCTTCACGCAGTAGCACGGACAACACGAACTTCTCTCTTTTTAGCGTTGTGGCGAAGTCCCGCGTTAGCCCGGAGAAGAACTCTAGCCTTTGGCTAGCTAATCTCCTTGCGCAGCCGTAGGGCTACCAGGGACCTAGCTTACGGGCCTTCTTAGCGAACCTCGGAGCCTTCGGCTCTCCGGTCCTTTTCCTCACTCCTAGCTCTTGGAAGTAGCTAGCCGAGTGTTCGAGGAGACGGCCCAGCACGCGCCACTCTAGCTTCTCCCCCTCCAGGTTCACCCTGAAGTCCGGGGAGAAACTAGCGAAGTTCTCGTTCGTGAGATCGTCCGCTAGCTGGTTCAGATCTCTGCGGATCCACTGTAGCTGAAGCTCACAGTTCTTAGCGGAGAGTTCCTCTGCTAGCTCCATCAACACCAAGGTCGATGGGAACTTCGTCGTCATAGCCTTCTTCAGTAGCGCTTCGTTGGACTGGTTGTCAGTGTAGCCACGGATGGCCACCTTGGAGGTCTTCTTAGCATCCCCTTCCGCGACCCAGAGCCTCACACCAACCAGAGTAGCCAGTAGCTCCAACGCGGCTATGACCTTGTTCGGGTCTCCTTTAGCGAAGGCCCAGGGGGCCCATTCCTTCTTCACCTCTAGCGAGAACCAGGGACCGTGGCAGCCGTCCACTAGCTCGAGGAAGCCCCCAATCCAGGCCGGTCCATTCTCGGCTTTAGCGTCGGTGTAGAAGGAGAGCGGTGCCGCCCCGTCCAATAGCGAGGCCGGCTTCTGGAGACGGCCCCCCGCTTCCAGGCGGTCTGCTAGCCAGCCACAGAGGACGCGAATCATCGTGGGTAGCGTGAGGAGCCCCAGCTTCCCCTGTACGGCCGAAGACCAGGCGTGTAGCGGTCCCAGGAAGGGGCGCTCCCAGTCTAGCGCCATGGAAGCGAACCCCAGGCGCCCTAGCCCTTGTGCGAAGGGCCGGGCCTCACACTTCCCATCTCGGACTAGCTTCCGTAGCCATTCCACTAGCCAGTCGGTTCTCTTCTGAGACAGGCCTAGCCTCCAGGTGGAGTACTCGGTTTCCATGCCTAGCCACTCCACCCGAAATCACCCCCTCGTCTTGGCCCACTTGAAGGGGTACCCAAGACTAGCGAGGAAGAGATAGCTTAGCGGGATCCCCATGCGTCCTCTAGCCCCTCGGCCCAAGGACTCGAGGTCGTCGGCATAGAGAAGCATGTCTAGCGGGAACGATGGCCCTAGCAGGTGGTAGGTGAGTCGAAGCCCACACGCCGCTATGCGGGTCCACCAGTAGCTCGCACATGATAGCCCGAAGGTCCCCACCAGATTAACGTAAACCGTCTGGCTGTCGGGGTCCCCCGGTGTAGCTTCCTCGGTGTCGATCTGACACCCTAGGTAGCCATGCTCTCCTTCGGCATGTTTGTAGCGTCGGTGAGCTTTAGCGATGTCGCCCACCACGGAGAAGGCCACCTCGTTAGCGTCGATGTGCTCCCGAAGTAGCTGCTTCTTCTCCCTAGCTCCTGGGGCCCGGATCTTGTCCCTGCACTTAATGCGGTGGTTGACCCGGACCCCGTGGGTAGCATCGTGGATCATCCTCTTCTTTCCACTAGCTTCGTCCTCGACGATGACAGCTAGCGCGGCGATGGCTCGATGCTCGCCATAGCGGGCTTTGAACTCGCCTAGCGTCATCTTGACCATGAGGCCCTCCGCCACGTCCTCTTCGAACTTCTCCCTAGCGAACTCACGGTACTCCTCCACCGAGGAGTAGTTCGGGACCCAGGCTAGCGCCGCCTCCCAAGGGGCGTTCTCCAAGGGCCACTTTAGCTGTTCCTCGAAGACGTGGGGAGTGCGTGGTAGCGGGTCCCTCACCCCCACCGGTAGCCCCTCCTCGGCCTGGAGGAGGAAGTCCCTGTCGGGATCGCCGGCCGCGGTCAGTAGCGCCCGGATGAGGCGGAGGTACGGCTGCCCCGGGCCACCTTTAGTAGCTCCGGGTCTCCCAGGTCATTAGCTTCCAGCCACTCTTTCCAGATCAAGCGTAGCTGCTCCTGGAGATCTTCGGAGCTAGCTAGGGCACAGCCCGTGGCCCCCCCGGCAGCCATGCGGAAGGCTTCCTTCTCTAGCTCCGCTTCCGAACCTATCTTAGCGAGGATCACCTCCATCATTTTCTCCCGTAGCCAGTCCCAGTTGGGACCTTCGGCGTAGCTGCGGGTAGCGTGGGGCCAGCGTCCTGGGGAGCAGAGGCCCCCACCATCATGGTAGCTCTTGTTGCCACCTAGCTGTTGGCAGGTCCTTGGTGGCCCTGAACCCCCTAGCACTCGCGGACCCTCCGGCTCACAGGTCGGGAAGGTCTCGGGTAGCGGGCACTCCGGCCTAGCGCCACCCCCCTCCCCCTGGGCAGCGGTAGCAGGGTGCTGGCAGGAGTCCAGAATCAGGGTAGCCAGCCACTGGCACATCCTAGCGGGCCACTTCTCGGAACCTGAGGTCTTGAAGGGGCCCTTAGCGGGGCGCTTGAACATGCGGCCCAAGGTAGCAGCAGAAGGCAGCGGTCCTGTGTAGCAGCCCTTTTTGTCATAGCACGGCAGGCCTTCGTGTACGAAGTCTGGCATAGCAGAAGAGCATTTTAGCAGCAGCCGCGTCGGCTTAGCGTATGGCGTACCAAAACTAGCCTGGTGGAAGGCCACGGTCCGTAGCCCCTTTTGCAGAAGGTCGGCTAGCGGCGGCCACTGCCACATAGAAGCCGGCCGTGTCCCTTGATGCGGGCCCTTAGCGAGGGCCCCAAGGTCCTCGGGCTGCTCCATGGCAAGGAAGGTAGCTGCACCGTCGGCCACGAGGGTAGCGACCGCAAAGCTGAAATCCGCAAAAATGTTGCCCAGGATAGCGCGGTCTCGCTCTGCAGGTGTTAGCGTTTCCAGACCTCGGGGAAACTCGTAGCTGCGCACCGGGCGGGGCCCTTGAAAGTTAGCCCAAGGCGCTCTGGAGAAGCTAGCGCACGGCGGGGAGAGCACCACCGCGTCGAACTCCTTGCTAGCGATCCGGTCCAGGTAGCTCTGCCGAATCTTGGGCTGACTGAGGTCGTATTTAGCGTGCCGTAGCAGGTCGACACACTCGACCCTCACGTCTTTGTTGAACTCTGCTGCTATAGCTGATGCAAACACTGCGCCCCATCTAGCCGGCGCGAGGTACCCGAGAAGAGGTAGAGCACCCGTAGCGGCTTTGTGTGTGTAGCGGCCGGCTTCGCTGGCGTAGCCGCCAGTGGGTCTGGCGTAGCTTCCCCCCCCGGGGGGGTCACAGGCACTGAGGGCGCAGCCGCCGTAGCGGGTCAGTTGGAGGGCTTATCCTCCTTAGCGGCCTCCGTTTGCTTGGTGGGGCACTTCGTAGCTGGGTGCTTGCCGAAGCATAGCGAGCAAACGTGCTCGAAATGGCACTTGTTGCCATTCTTGCATCCCTTGGCATTGTAGCGGAAGCAGATGGGCTTCCCTTGCGGGGTGCGATCGGCACCCAGGCGCTTCTTAGCCTTGCCCCCCTTGGGGGGGGCGTCCTTGCCTTTGCCCTTCCTCTTGGGGGGCTTAGCAGGCCGCTCCTCCGTCCAGGTCCAGGGCTGCGGCCGCTTAGCATGGAGGGCTAGCGGTGTAGTGAAGTGCCTCTCCTTCACGCTAGCGTCCTTGTAGGCAAGGACTAGCGCAGCGCCGAAGGAATAGCCGGCCGTGGCCATGACCTTGTACGCGTGCTTCCTGATAGCGTGCTCGTAGCTGAGCACCAAGGTCCACGGGGGCACTAGCGACCCCGAGTCGGCACTGGACCGGAGACCATAGCAATAGTCTCCGAGAAGATAGTCTTTGTAGCGCTCGAAGAGGGCCATAGTGACATCCTGTAGCTCCTCCCGGTTGGGGTGCCTTAGCTGCATCATGATTAGCGTGTTCTGGAGCACCGTGAGCCGCAGCCGTAGCTGCTCCGGCCCAGAAGGCATGGGGGCCCTAGCTCCCCCCTTCTTCATGGATAGCGTGCCATTGCCATTCCAGACGGGCAGTAGCGTGTCGGGGTCCCATTCGTCCCGGCTAATGACCTCGGTTAGCGGCTCGGCCCGGAACTCGCCAGATTCGAGCTCGCCTAGCTTCTTCTCAAGGTACTCTTTAGCGGGGGTTTGCTTGTCCTCGAGGTCTCCGAACTTAGCGGTGAAGGCCTGGCGCATGGCCATATAGTCCGTAGCGGGGATGGGCTTTGCCCAGTCCCGGACCTCGCTTGTAGCTTCCGCCTCCGCTTGCCGCTCGGAGCGGGAGGTAGCGGTCCTCCATGCGATGGTGACCCCCGCGGCCTGAGCGCGGCTAGCGAGCGAGGTGGACGGCTCAATTGCAAAGCTGTCCTTTAGCATCTTCTTGAGGTCCGCCTCATCTGTCGCCGAGGCTGCAAATTTAGCGACGGTATCAATACCGTTGGAAAAGAGCTCGGATTGGATAGCATCCGAGACTT